TAAAATAGATGAGAGCAAGAAGGATTTTGTCCTTCAAAAGGCTAAGAAGGCATTATAGTCCTTCAGACATTTCATCACGCAAAAATATTTAAAAGACCTTGATGCTAAATTTGTAGCCCGAATTCCTCCCTTATTACATCCTTTAGTAAAATAGGAGATTGTGATGCTTTTGTTGTCTCTCGGCATGAGAAGGAATTCAAGGTATTTGTATTCCTAAAATTTAAATTTTGGTTCCTTTTATTGAATGTATATATGTGTACTAACAGGATATTTTTGTTATTGATTAAAAGAATTGAGCACTCAGAATAAGGAGAGAGTGGCTAAGAATGAATACCCTAATAGACTAGGGAGGTTGGGGTATGTAGGCATGGAGCAGAAACAATTAGAGGCTGAGGGATCAGATGTTACCATATCCTACTAAGACTTTAGGTATTGGCACGAACAAAGAAAGATGGAGTTATTGACAACCCTCATGTGAAAGAGGTTATTGAAACAAATATAAGTGTTATAATTATCGATCAATTAATAAACGATGATGAAAATGCATGCTAATTAGCTCTACTTTGCATAGGATTCCCTCTATAACATCCCGAAAATTTTAAGACTCAGATTTATTTTAAAAATAAAATTAAATATCTACAATTAAATTAAAATTAAGAATAATTTGATAGAGGTCTAGAGTTTGAATTTTTCTCAGTAAAAGTTTGGTTTTATTTGATTTTTAACTATAGAAAAAATTATCAAAGTTAACCCGAGCTTTTGTGCTATAATAAAAAATGTTGGGCCCTTTCTTATAATTTTCCCCAAAGTGTTAGAAAAGAGGAAAATGAACATAGAAACGAAACAGAACAAAGAAGGAAAAGAAACATATGAGAGAGAGAGAGAGAGAGAAAAGAAGAAGAGAGGAGAAAGAGAGGGAGTTAGGCTTGGATCTAGGAGGCTTTACGACCGTTGCGAGCTCAGTTACATGATAGGTAAACTCCCTACTTCAATCCTCTTCCCTCCATCTTTGTTTTCTTCAATTTTGGAAGAGGAAATTTCTAAAGTTTGATCCAAAAGGCTTTATTCTTGTAAGCTTTAGTTTCCTTGGGTCCTTAGGAGGTTGTTTTGAGTTTCTACATGATGCCCTAATGTTTTGAGCAGGTAATTGGGTAAAAATAGAGTTTTAGGGCAAAAGTTAGACCCAAAGCGGTTGGGTTTTGCTCCTCAATGGTTTAATTCTATTGATTTAGTTGCTATTTGAGCCCAATAAGATTTAAATTAAGGTTTGGTTTTCATTATAAGGGCTAATGGTGAAAGTTGGTGACACTAAGTGAAGGTTTTTAATTGATTAAAAATTATATGAATTGAAAATTAGCCTAGTGATGGCTAATAAATGGTTTTGGTGGTTAAGTGATACTATGTGAATGGTTGGTTTAATATATAGACTATTAGGATGGATTATGACTCATTGACCCAAGTTGTCTGGTATGAGTTATAGTCTTCATTAATGCTATTTGTCATGATAAATGATATGAATCACTTATATGTTGTAGGAATTGTTGGTGGAACTTATTGAGAAGTTAAGGAACAAGCCAAGTCCTATTTTGTACAAGAGAAACCCTTTTGGTACCAAAGGGTTGAGGTAACAGGGGAATTTATATTTTTTATTGCTTTGTTTAGCTATTTTTTAGTAGATAATATTATCTAGCATGCATTACATGTTTTAAACAATTGAATGAAAATAAAATGTATTTTAGAAGGGTTTATGGGGTATTGCTTTAATAATAATGCATCTATATTTACTATCTATTTAATAATGATGTTACTTATGGAAATAAGATTATTAGCATGCATTGTGATCATAAAAAATGAGGAGTTGCACTTAGGGAAGTGCGACTAGGTTTGGTACCTTAGATAGGCTAAGGAACCGCTGAAGGGATGAATTATGAGTGTTATACTACCTTGAGTGTTGAAGTAGTCAATACTCGGAAAAGGTAGAAAAAGGGTAGGAGGCATGATCTCGGTGGGAGTTCACTAATGGGGAGATGTGGTCTTGTGATATTCTATAGCTCACTATCAATACTCAATGTTGCCTTCCGTATTGTGGGCTCAGTACACTAAAGTGGTTAGTGGATTGAGTGTACGACACCTCTCAGTAGGAGAGGGAATCCAGCATATAAAGTGTGAGGTTGAGTGCCTAGGCCAAGGTAGCCCTCACATGGAAAGTAAGTCAGGCTGGCTCTATGAGGGAGTTAGCTCTGACTGCTTAGGATTCACGTCGAAGGGGCACAGGCAGTTCGGTGGATCGGATCATGCCTTAGTTTATATGCTGTGTCTGTGGAGGGACAGTGGGTACAAGGTTTACCTACAAGCTAAAGAATGCTAAGGGGTATTCTGTTGGTCAGGAAATGCTATATTGGCCTATCTCATGCATTCAAGCATTTTAATTGGTTAATTATATGTTATTTTGAATTTATTATTTATTTACTTGACTATGGCTTTTCTTGTAATAAGGAATATTAATTTCTCTGTTACTGAGACTGTGGTTGTCTCACCCCTTTCTTTACAATATTTACAAGTCTAGGCGAAGGATCCATTGGTGGATAGGGAAAAGAGCTAAGCTAGGGGTTTGCTTGTGATTTGTAAAGAACTGCAACCCTTTTCTTTTGAGCAAGTACATTGTAATGTATTTAGAATTAGGGTGCCAATAAGATGTCATTATAAATATGCGTGCGAATATGTGTGGATTGTATGCCTTTATATGAATTTTTATCTGCTTGTAAACTTGTGGCTAGGAAACTTAGTTATGGTGTGTGATTTTGATGAATTTATTTAGTAGACTAAGTTTCTACTATAAGCAGATATTTATTTTGTTATATATGTGATTTTACAAGAAAATGCAAAGTGGTTACATTACAAATAGTGTGCTCTGGGCAAACATACATCTTGGATAGAGAGAGTAGGTGTGTGGGCCCCACGAAGATCTTTGAGCTAAGTGAAAATGTTTAGCATGTGTATTCATATGTGTATTTGGTATTTGGATTTATTTTTCACCACTCTTGTATGATTTGTGAATTTTGGGGACTTAGGGTCCATTTTGAGAAATGTCACCTGGGTAGTCAAATTTTGATATAAAGGATTTTTCTATCATTTAAACTTTCTATCAGGTGTTTTTAGTCCTATTTGAAATGTCTAAAGTGTTCCACCGGTTTGCGACCCTTAGGATGAGATTTGGACAATTTTGAAAATAGTTTTTACTAAAAAACTACACTTTTGCATCCGGGTGTGCAAATCTTAATCTAAAAGTTAAATTTCTCTAAAATTTAGATCACAAGTAAAACCTTTTATAAGCTTCATGTAAGCTTTGGAATCACATCGATCAGACACCAGACAGAGAAATAGCACACTCAGGAATTTGGTTGGGAGGAGCTATCATGACAGCAACAGTGATGATGTTGCAACATGCACGAAATTCAATCCATTCATTAAATCTTTTCAAAATTTGGTATTCTAATAGCACTCTTTAAAAGTGACACGTGGGCTTTGGAATCGCTCTGATCGAAGGTTGGATGATGAAATGGTGCACTCTAGAAGTTAGTTTGGAGGTGCTGTCATGACAGTTAAAAAGCTGTCATGATAGCAAAAATGACCAAATTTGTAACATGTCTAATTTTTAATTCAACCGTTAGATCTTTTTGAAATTTGGTAAACTTATAGTACCCTTTGAATGTGACGTATGAGTTTTAAAATTACTTCGATCAGGAACCAGATGACAGAACAGTGCCTCCTAGATGTTGGCCCGGGAGGGCTGTCTAATGCTGTCATGATAGCAATTTTTACCCCGCTTTCGCCTAGCTTGCTTCCGTACACTATAGGTAGAACATATAAATTTTTTTTAAAATGCTTTAAATGTTTATTTTGCAATCGTCTATCTGTTTAGTGATTTAAATGGTTTGTTTCCTAAGTTGATTTTAAGATCAACTCCTTAACCACACTTAGTTTATTTAAATTGTGCGATTTTTAGATAACACTCAGGTCAAGTGTTACACCCTCTTTCAAGAAGTCTCATAGGGCAAGCTTCCTAAGCATGAGGATATCTTGGCTAGAGCATTGGAGACCCCTGACCACCCTGGTAGTGTTAAGGGTGTAAGCTTCGGTGTCATGAAAAAGGAATACTTTGGCAAGATTAATAAGCGAACATCAGCTTCTTTATCTAAGGTTCAAGAGTTGAGAGTAGAGCAAGCTGCTTTGAAGTAGTAGCTAGAAGCTTAGGCAAAGTTAAATGACATGCTATTGAAGGGCAGATCCTTAAGAAGCTTTTAGCTGATGTTAGCCCCAATAGAAAAGATAGCTGCATAGTCCCTTCAGACAAAATACCCGAGATAATACATTTTATCTTCTAAATTTACTTAACTAATTTTTTTCTTAAAAATTGACATTGTTTGTTTATTTAGGGCAAGAATGACTGTAATTGTTTAACTGATGATCCTTCATGCAAAGTAGTTGTAACAGAACACGTGTATAACATTACCGGGGACACAATTCATAACCTTCCCTTCTCACTTGATTGCGTTAGGGTTTCCTTGCTTGTTGCAATAGACCCAAGTATCCATTATCTTATCCTACTAATGAGATATAGATGGTAGGAGATGTGTTGGGGAGCTTCATTGCATGGCCCAGACACCTTGTTATGGTGGGTGTACTAAAGTCGATAAAAGACCCATTGTTAGTAAAGAAAAAGCACATATGATTTAAATAATTGTTTAGAATCTTTTAATATATGTGTCTAACTTTTTCATTGTATAGTCAAGGCAAAAATGCAAATTGAAGGGCAAGGTATTAGGCTATACCAAAGAGTCAGCCACAATTTTGCAGCATCCAACACCTATACTTGTTGTAGAAAACAAATTTTATTACTCTCTTGAGATTTATGCTTCGACTATGAGGATGATTCGTCAAGTGTCGATTGGGATATCATTAATTTTGACAATAGGCTATTTGGTAGAGCATCATTTGAAGTCGATCGAGATAAAATTTTAAATGATATCCTCAAGCATGATATGGCAAGCACTAGTTGGATGACCTTCTATCTGAGGTAATTCTTCAATATTTGTTAGTTAATTACTTGAATTATATGTGTGTGTATGTGTGTGTGTGTGTGTGTACAAGCGTATTAACTTGTATATTTTTTACCGAACTCACCTTTATACCTCATTCATGATTCCTGGTGGCGTCGAGTTAAGGATCAAGCTAGTTAGTCCTCATGATGTCTCTCCCCACAATAATATTATAAACGAAGCTCTTAAAAAATCAAGCAAGAATGCTTTCAGATCAATTTTGGGAAAGGGAAGCAGACAAGGATACTTTATTCTCACTCTTTACTGCCGAGGGTGAGCTGCTAATATTTGTTACAAGTAATATATTTTTTTATATTTACTTGTTTAGTAATATGTACTATTTCTTGTTAGGGGACACTAGATGCTTATTATGGCTAATCCCATTACTCCAAAAATATGATATCTCAATCCCCTTAATGGAGAACCAAGCAACAAGGAAGAAATTGTGGTACCTTTTTAATGAATAAATTGGATTTTTTCACTTGTTGTTTCTTGTCATTTTTAGTATCCATAGATATATATTTCTCACATTCATTCCATATTTCCTTCTTAGAGCTGTGGTGTTGGATTGCACTATGACCAATAAGATTGTATCCCCTAAGATGAAGGCATTTGAATCTTTAAAGAAATAGGTCACTGTTAATGTATTCATTCAATTGGTCAAATTTTTAATTAAGAAACTATCATGTTTTACAATTTCATTGATATGTATTTTTTTATAGTGTCCATTCCAGTTAGATCAGAGCAATGACTATGGTTATTGCTTAATGAAGTTCTTGAAGGACATCATCTCCCATGCCCCTACGACACTATTTGACAAGGTATATATATTAAATTTAATTACACTTTAATTATAAATTTTAACCAATTTTAATTAGCTACCTATTAACTTGAAATTATTGTGACTATTTGCCTACAGTATTTCAAGGATGTCTATTACGTTCACTATATAGCTTCACATGTAAAAGAAGTCCTTGAAGAGGTGGCCTAATGTGTTTTCAATATATGGGTAGCAATAATGGTTAGGCCAGTATAATAATTAGTTATGTATGAATATATACACATTTTTTTAGCCAATTTTTATGGGATAGGCCACTTAGTTTTGGAACTTTAGTTTACAAATAAATTGGGTATAGATTTTTTAGGTTTTAAGGGCTAAATATATAGGAATTTAATGTTACCTAGATAGTAAATATTATTAGAAACATTCATTATATTATTTCTAGTTACTGGCTGGCTATTTTTTATTTGTATCTATATCTTTATGCAGGGGGTTGCTTTTATTTTTAAAGAAATGCCATAAATACTTGACAGTTATTTTAAAATAACCATCAAGTATTTAATACTTGATGCTTGTTTTCAAAATAAGTGTCAAGCATTTGCAAATACTTGATGCTTATATGGTAACAAGCGTCAAGTATTTGTTCAAGGAAAAGGAAATTTTATTCATATACCTGACGGTTTTTTCTAAATAATTGTCAAGTGTTCCTTAAATACCTGACGGTTTTTAACCCTCAAGTAAGGTTTCTTTAATATGTCACACCCTTACTTGACGGTTAAAAACTATCAAGTATTGTGAAAAATAAGCATCAAGTATGGGTCTTTTTTATGGTAGTGTGTGTATATAGTGATATTGGCAGCTAGTAGTGTGTATGATGGGGTTATTAAGAAGATTGGAGTGGTAAGTGAATTTCTTGAGGTATTATCAAAAGAGATGTCTAGATTACCTCTAGAAAGGGAAGTGAATTCTCAATAGATTTAGTTCCTAGTGCTGAACCATTTTCAAAAGCTCTGTATCGAATATCGCCCTCAAAGTTAAGTAAATTGAAGAAGCAAATTGAAGAATTTCTTGATAAGGGGTTTGTCAGACCAAGTGTATTGCCATGAGGATCCTAGTATTGTTTGTAAGAAAGAAAGATGGCAATTTATGACTGTGCATTGATTACCAGTAATTGAACAAGGTGACGGTGAAAAAAAAGTACTTTTACTTAGAATTGATGATTTGTTAGATCAATTGGCTAGAGCCTCAATCTTTTCTCAAATTGACTTGAGGTTAGGGTGTAATACCCTAACACCAAACATTACTAAAATCGTGTACACATACATATTAATCATTGGTTATTAAATTATAGGAATTTATTTAGAAAATAGGGATCCCAATTTCAGTGATAAATTCTTGAAAATATATATATTATGCACAATGGAAGCAATTAGGAATACGTAACTACTATATATAAACAATAATATCAAAAATAGTAATATTTAACGTTGGCTCTATGCTGCGTGCCGCAGCATGTACACCATGTGCCATGGTGAGCATGTCAATCTGTTATCAAATAGAAAATTCTGATACAAATTTTAGACATGCACCATTTTCACATCTAATGTTCGATTGGAGTGGTTTAAACACCCACACATCACTCATTTGATAATCTAACCAATGACATTAGTTTCATTTGAATCCGATATCATGTTTAAAAGTTAGACACTAAAGTGCACTCTAACCATATTAAGCCAAAATTTTCCACTTAAGCATCTCAATTTGAAATCATATATCATTGGCCACTTCTAGGGCCTTGACCACGTCCAATGAGACACTTTACACCTAATTGACCACACACATCATCAATAATGACAACACATATAATTTTGGCCAAATAACTTCCTTTCACACAAAAAGGCCTTTTTGCACATCTATGCACAATAACCTACTCACTGGGCGAACAAGTCATGTAAACATTCAAAACATACAATCCTACACTTTCACAAGTATCTTAGCTCATAATCTCAATTTACCTATAGTTACACATATATTTGAATTTGGCCACAATTATACCCTTTACGTACACATAGGGCTATATTCCATACTTGCCCCTATATTTTACATGCATGGCCAAATTGCATACCATATTATACACTTCCATACTTTAGGGCTAAGACACATAAACTTAAGAGCCTCAACATCACATATATGTATGTATTCTTAGGGCAACTTATAAACATACTAGTTCACAGTATTACAATTCATTACACAAACCCAGGGCTTACAGTAGTCTCACTACTCCTAGCCCAATTCCTTTCCTTTACTGCTATCATCTCAAGACCTAAAAAATATAAGCCACGGGCTTAGATAAAAATTTCAGTAACCAAGATAATTCAAAGCTATCTGTTAAAGAGAATAACTATAAACAAGTACTTTACCTTATTTACAATTCTCAAAGTATATTAATATATATATATATATATTCATTTTTCACCAAATCATTTCTCACACATATTATTCACCTAAGTCTGTCTATCCTCTAAGCATCCCAACTGAATTCATGGGTGACTCTGACTATCCCTCAAGAGATTAGTCCTCACCTAACCTTCGTGAACTATCGGGCCAAGGTGATTTTTCCTACTTTAGGACTATGAATTCCCCCTTCACACATGCTAGGGGTTTCATTGACTCCTTTCTGTACCTTTTAAAACACTAAGGAGTTGCTAGACTACCTAAATTTTTTATGGGTACAGTCCCTTAAATTGTTGCACCATGGGTCCCCTAGTGACAACTAATCTATATGGATTTTTCACGCTTATTTCTTCAACACAGGTGAACTCCCATCCCTTTAGTGCAAATGAATGAAACTATATGCATATTCAAATTTCTACACACACACAACGCACATATAATCTAATTTTGAATCAACTTTCACAATATTTACTTTCTAAACAATACCCTTTAAAAAAACAATATGCATGTTTGCAATCATGTCATTATTTACAAACTTCACATATCATATATCATACACACACTTATAAACAATTAATCTAACTAATAAACAAATGAATTATCTGGTTACCTCAACACTTTGGTTACTAGAAAGGGTACCTGTGGTACTCTTCACACTGTTAACCTTCTTTTACCCAATTCACACACAATCTGCCTTAATCTACATAATTTATCACTATAAGTTAATTATCCAATTAACCCAAAAACACTAATAACTATAATGAATCATAGTTAATCACTCAATCACTTATACTTAATCCCTTAAATCCTAATCATCCTCTCAAATACTCTAACCCCTTTTTACTAGCTTCTATATCACTAATATCAACCCTTATCAACCTTTCTAAGCTTATAATTTAAGTTAAATTCGGCATGCAACTATAATCTCAATTAAAATTTCCAGACTAGTTGCAAAGCCATAGCTTAACCTTTGGGAACCTTCTTAGTAATTATGGTAAGAAAACAAACCCTCAAAACTCCCTAACTCATTTTCTTTATTTCTCAAACCAAGAGAAATTAGTATAGAGTAGGAACTCAGGGTGGTGCGAAACTTAATTAACAAGCAACTAGTCAAAACAAACTCCTAGTGCTCCAAGATCTCTTGCCCCAACAAAACCTTGCTCCCTCTCCTCTCTTCCATACTCCTTTCCCTTCTCTCCTCTATTTTTCATGCACTAATCCACATATTAATAATTAAAATTCTATGCCATGCTATGGTGTATACACTATATGCTGCAACATGTGGTAGAGTAAAGAACTTCTCATTGTTGCTTACCTACTTCATGTCAGTTTCCTACTCTTCCTCTTGATCCTAATCATTTAACATCCCAACAAGCCAAAATGTTAGCTTGCTATTCAAAATCTTAACTATTCAATCAATCCTAATAATTACCAATTTACCCTTATTAACATCTAGTATCAAGATTAAAGATTTAGGATGTTACATGAGGTATCACCAGTTGAGGGTCTCTAGGAAAGATATACCTAAGATGGCCTTCCATACATGTTATAGGAAATACAAGTTCCTTGTCATGCCATGTGGTCTGACTAATGCACCTACAATATTCATGGATTACATGAACTATTTTTTTAGGCCATATCTAGATTAATTTGTTGTGGTTTTCATCGACAACATTCTGGTTTATTCTAAACATGAGGACAGCATGCCATACATCTTTGGATTGTGTTTCAGATTCTAAAAGAGAACAAGCTATATGTCGAGCTCAGTAAATATGAGTTTTGGCTAAGAGAAGTTAAATTCCTAGGTCATGTAGTATCATCAAATGGAATTTCTATTGACCCTCATGAAGTTGATGCTATGTTAAAATGGGAGCAACCTAGTTCAGTCATGAAAATTTAAAGTTTTCTAGGATTAACTAGATATATTCAAGGTTTCTCTCAAATTGCTTTTTTATTAACAAGATCGACCTGTAAAGATCAGCCTTTTATCTAGGATAACAGATGTGAGATTGCATTTCAAAAGTTGATAGAAAAGTTGACTACTACACCTATACTGATAATTCTAAATTGGAGACTATATTATGAGGTGTACGTTGAAGCTTCTTTGAAAGGTTTTAGGTTGTGTCCTGATGCAAGTTGAATAAGTAGTAGTTTATACATCAAGACAGTTGAGATCACATAAAGAAAGTTACCTAGCTCATGATTTAGAACTTGAAGTAGTGGTCTTTGCATTGAAGATTTGGTATCATTACCTGTATAATTCAGTGTTTAATGTGTTTAGTGACTATAAGAGCTTAAAGTATCTTGTAGATCAGAAAGAATTGAACCTGAGGTAAAGAAGGTGGATGGAATTACTCAAGGATTATAACTATGAGTTGAAATACCATTTAGGGAAAGCTAATATGGTAGCTGATGTGTTGAGCTGAAAGACATTACACATAGCTAGTTTAATAGTGCGAGGAGTGTTCTATTGATTCTCAACAAAATGTACTATTGAAAGCTTTAGTTGGTGCCTATATTACTATAATCAGTAATGATTTCTGAAAAGAGTTGAAAATAGGGCAGCTAGAAGATGAGTATCTTCTTGGGATTTAAGAGGCAGTTGAATCGAATTTATCTAAGGATTTTATTTTTATCTAAGACAGAATCTATGTGCCCAATGATACCAACTTGAGAAAAGTGATTTTGAATGAAGCACACTGTAGTAAATACACTATTTACCTGAGAGCTGTGAAGATGTACTAAGATGTGTAACGCTACTAGTAGTAGCTAGGAATGAAAAGAAAGGTGACAAAGTTTGCAGCAAAGTGTTTTAACCTGTCAAAAAATTAAAATCAAGCATCAGAGATTGGCTGGAACATTACAACTATCAGAGATACCTAAGTAGAAATGGGATAGCATTTTCATGGATTTCATCTCTAGATTACCAAGCGATCAGAAATTAGTTACTTACCCTTAAAATTAAACTAAAGTTAACCTTAATGCAATATAAGGCCAACCCTATGTCATCTCCCAATGAATGGTTTCAAGTCTAATAAAAAGTTACCTAATGCAATAAGTCACCTAAAAAGTGAAATGAACTTCCCTTTTCACAAGAGCAAAACCCTAGAGATTAGTTAATTTTTTACTCATTATCTTCTCATGATTAGGCTAGGCTAAGCTTTCCTTTCCTCTTAACTAAATCTGTCATGACTTAAGAAAATTATCCTAAGCCAATTAACCTAATTAGCTAACTTCCCTAGGTCTCAGATTAAATTCCGTAATTCAATTAACTAATTGGTAAAGAAATTAGCCAAGTGATTTACTCAAACGTCTCCCTCATATGCCACAGCCAAGACAAGGAATCAGTAACCATAAGATTATGTCAAGCTATGCAACAACTCAAGCATTAACATCACAAGATTATACAATATTAAAACATGTAATTCACTAATTGAAAAACACAAGATTATGTGCCAAACAAAGAGTGGCTAAATTCAATCATGGCTATCGAAGAAAGAAATTAAATGAAACAATCCTCTCCCTTTATATCAATATCAAATTCAAATTAGAATTTACAAGCTAAGATGATTAAATCCTAAATTAAGGAATCTAACCATCTAGTAAAAAGAGAAGAGGATAGGAAACAAAAGAACTTAGCCAATTTAAAGCTCAAGTCTCATCCTCCATCTTCATCTCTTTAGGATTCCACTAAAGAAATTAGCCAATCTTCATTATATTCAAGAACTCTAGTATTTGCTTGTAAAGGCGGAACTCTAGAGCCCTTGAATGATGGAAATGAGCTTCAATCCTTATGAAAGTGGGAGAGTTAGGATGAGGTTGAAGAGAGAAAAAGAATGGTGTGAGTTTTATAGAGGTTTGGTGGCTAAAAATAGGAGACATGGTGCTGGAAAATGAAGAACACAAGAGAGAAAATGAAGAACAATAAAAACAAGTGAGAGAAAATGAAGGAGATGAAATGAGATGGATGTTGGATCTCAATAAGGGCTAAATGGCATGCCAATCCTTGTTTCCCATCAGCTGAAGGCTTAATTAAAAAATAAGAAAAGAAATTAAAATGGAAGTAGGAGCCTTGTCAGACATGCAAGGTGACAACCTCTTATTAGTTTGTTTATGATTCTAATGTGTGTGTAATTTCTCATGTGTCATCCACATTATTTAAACTGATTTAATCTTCCAAAAATAGCATAAATCATGTGCAAATGCTTAGCCATTTACCTCAAGGAGTGTTGACTTAAATTGCCCAATTGATGCACAAGTCATATGCCACCTATGTCACATAAAACACATAATTCAATTAAATACATGTGACACAACAAAATATAATTGATGTTCATAATTAAATTAATAATTATAAGGGAGAATTTATTAAATTAACTAAGTTTTAGACTACACAAAATATATAAAAATTTTCACACAAAGGCAAACCAAAAACTAGGTCAAACTAAGACACTTAAGAAAGTGTTGAGTTTTTATTTAATTACTCTTAAACTAAAATAAATTTTAAAATCTAATTTGATCACTCATCAACTAGACATAAAATGCACTTGTCAATTTTTCTTGTATATTTCTTAAAATTTAATTTTTGAACTAAAATACCCCTAGTACACTAAACTTAAAAACTTAAACAAAATTCCAAATCTAATTTAATCTGTGCACTTTAAGGTAATAAATCATTAATAAAAGGACCTAATTGACAAATAAAGTGTGTAACAAATGTGTTCTATCACTAAAAACTCAATTAGAGCACAATGCTATCTAGGTGATTGTCGACCAGTTGACGAAGTCCGCTCACTTCTCAGCCATCAAGATTGGTGAGTCACTCACTTCTCAGCCATCAAGATGGTGATTCTCCAGAGAGGTTTGCAGAGATGTATATCTAAGAAGTTGTGCATTTACATAGAGTGTGTAACATCCTAAAAATTTTAAGACTCAAATTTATTTAAAAAAAAATAAAAATAAAATAAAATATCTATAATTAAATTAAAATTTAGAATAATTTAATAGAGGCCCAGAGTTTGAATTTTACTAAGAAAAGTTTGGTTTTATTTGATTTTTAACTATGGGAAAAATTACCAAAGTTGACCCGGGCTTTTGTGCAATAATAAAAAATGTTGGGCCCTTTCTTGTAATTTTTCCCAAACTTTTTGACCAGCAATTTAAAGACCAAAATTGATGCAGAAACGCAGAAATTGAGTTGGAAAGGAAAGGAAAGGAAACGTATGAGAGGAGAGAGGAAGAAGAGAAGAGAAAGGGAGGGAGTTAGGCTTGGATCTAGGAGTCTTTGCGACCGTTGCGAGCTCGGCTACACGATAGGTAAACTCCCTACTTCAATCCTCTTCTCTTTCTCTTGATTTTCTTCAATTTTTGGAAGAGAAAATTTTTGGATTTTGATCCCAAAGGCTTTATTCTTGTAAGCTTTTGTTTTTTGGATTCTAGGGAGCATGTTTTGAGTTTCTATATAGTGATCTAATGTTTTGAGTGAATAATTGGATGAAAAGAGGTGTTTTGGGCACAAAATAAACCTTGAGAAATTGGGTTTTTGCTCCTCAATGGTTTAAGCCTATTGATTTAGTTATAATTTTGCTATTTGAGCCCAATAAGATTTAAATTAAGGTTTGGTTTTCATTATAAGGGCTAATGGTGAAAGTTGGTGGCACTAAGTAAAGGTTTTTAATTGATTAAAAAATTATATAAATTGAAAATTAGCCTAGTGATGGCTAATAAATGGTTTTGGTGGTTAAGTGATACTATGTGAATGGTTGGTTTAATATATGGACCATTAGGGTGGATTATGACTCATTGACCTAAGTTGTGTGGTATAGTTATAGTCTTCATTAATGCTATTTGTCATGATAAGTGATGTGGATCACTTATATGTTGTAGAAAATTGTTGGTGGAACTTATTGAGAAGTAAGGAACAAGCCGAGCCCTATTTTGTACAAGGGGAACCCTTTTAGTACCAAAGGGTTGAGGTAACAGGGGAATTTATATTTCTTATTACTTTGTTTTAGCTATTTTTGAATAAATATTACTAGTTATCATGCATTACATGTTTTAAAAGATTAAATGTGCTTTATAAGGGGTTATGGGGTACTACTTTGATTATAGTGCAAATATGTTTTCTAATTGTTTAATAACAATGTTTTTATGGAAATGAGATTTATAAATATTATACTACTTTAGAGTGTTGAATGGTCAATACTCAGGAAAGGTAGACAAGAGTAAAAGGCATGATCTCGGTGGGAGTTCACCAATGAGAAGGTGTGGATTTTTGATATTCTATGGCACACTGTCAGTACTCAGTGTTGTCTTACGTATTGTGGGCTCAGTGCACTAAAGTGGTTAGTGTATTGAGTGTTCGACACCTCTCAGTGGGGAGGGAATCCGACATATGAAGTGTGAGGTTGAGTGCCTAGGCCAAGGTAGCCCTCACATGGAGAGTAAGTCGGGCTGGCTCTGGGAGGGAGTTAGCTTTGACTGCTCAGGATTCACGTCGAAGGGGCATAGGCGGTTCGGTGGATTAGATCATGCCTTAGATTATGTTTTGTGCCTGTGGAGGTACAAGTAGGTATAAGGTTTACCTGCGAGTTAAAGAGTGCCAGGGGGCATTCTGTTGGTCATGAAAGGCCATACCGGCCTAGGTCATGCATTCATGCATTTTAAATGGCTAAATTATATACTATGTTGAATTTATTATTCGTTTATTTGATTATGGCTTACTTTGTAATAATCAATGTAAATTTCGCTGTTACTGAGACTGTGGTTGTCTCACCCCTTTCTTTTCAATATTCTAGGTCCAGGCGAAGGATCCAGTGGTGGACGGGAAAAGGAGCAAAGCTAGGGGTTTGCTTGTGATTTGTAAAGAACTGCAACCCCTTTCTTTTGAGCAAATATATTGTAATGTATTTAAGATTAGGGTGCCAGTAGGATATGATTATGTGTGTGTGTGTGAATATGTGTGGATTGTGTGCTTGTGTATGAATTTTTGTCTGTTTGCAGACTTGTGGCTAGGAAACTTGGTTATGGTGTGTGGTTTTGATGGATTTACTTAGTAGACCAAGTTTCTATTACAAGCATATCTTTATTTTGATATATATGTGATTTTATAAGCAAATGCAAAGTGGTTGCATTGCAAATGGTGTGCTATGGGAAAACATACAGCTTGGATAGAGAGAGTGGGTGCGTGGGCCCCACAAGGAGCTCTGAGCCAAGTGAAAATGTTTAGCATATGTATTTATATAAATACATGGTATTTGGATTGATTTGTGACCACTCTTGTATGATTTGTGCATTTTGGGGGTTTAGGGTCCATTTTGGGAAATGGCACCCGGGTGGTCAAATTTTGATGTATGGGGGTTTTCCATCATTTGAATGTTCTATCAAGTGTTTTTAATCTTATTTGACGTGTCCAAAGTGTTTCCACAGGTTTGTGACCATTAGGATGGGATTTGGACAATTTTGAAAATGGTTTTTACCAAAAAGCTGCACTTTTGCATCCGGGTGTCCAAATCTTAATCCGACCGTTGGATTTCTCTAAAATTTGGGTCACAAGTAAAACCTTTTATAAGCTTCGTGTGGGCTTTGGAATCACGTCGATCGGATATCGGACGGAGAAACGACGCACTCCGGAATTTGGTCTGGAGGTGCTGTCATGACAGCATTAAATTGCTGTCATGACAGCTACAGTATTGATTTTATAACCTGCACAAAATTCAATCCGTCCGTTGGATCTTTTCAAAATTTAGTATGCTAATAGTATTCTTTAAAAGTGACATGTGGGCTTTGGAATCACTCCGATCGGAGGTCAGATGATGAAATGGTGCACTCCGGAAGTTGGTCCGGAAGTGCTGTCATGACAGCTTTTTAGCTGTCATGACAGCAAAAATAATCAAATTTTTAACATGTCTAATTTTAAATCCGACCGTTGGATCTTTTTGAAATTTGGTATACTTATAGTACCCTTTGAATGTGACGTGTGAGCTTTAAAATCACTTTGATCGGAGGTCGGATGGCGGAACGACGCCTCCCAAAGTTACTCGGGAGGGTTGTCATGACAGCAATTTAAATGCTGTCATGACAGTATCTTTTTATTTCTCTTTCGTCTAACTTGCTTCCGTGCGCTATAGTTAGAACCTATAATTTTTTTTAAGGTTTTAAATGTTTACTTTGCAATCGTATATTTGCTTAGTGATTTAAATGGTTTGTTTCCTAAGTTGGTTTTAGAATTAACTCCTTAACCACACTTAGTTTATTTGAATTGTGTGATTTTTGGATAACACTCGGGGCAAGTGTTACAGAGTGCCTGAGGATATAGTCTCTGATCATGATCCGAGATTCATGTCTAGATTTTAGGGAGCATGCAGAAGGCTATGGGTACTACTTTTAAATTTAGTATTGCTTATCATCTTCAAAAACCGACAGGTAAACTGAGTAAACCATTCAGAATTTAGAAGACATGTTTCGATCTTGTGTACTGGAGTAGCATGGTAGCTGGGATAATTACTTGTCGTTGGCCAAATTTGTATACAATAATAGCTACCATTCCATCATTCAGATGGTACCATACAAAGCACTATATAGACGAAAGTGTAAATTGAGATTGTGTGAGACTAAATCAAGTGAAAGAAATATTGTGGACCAGCCGATTCAAAAGATCGAATTGATAAGGCAAAAGCTATTAACAGCTCAAAGCAAGCGAAAGAGTTTGTTGATCATTGAAGAAGATCATTGGAGTTTTTGGTAGGTGACCATGTGTTTTTGAAAGTTATGCCAGTAACAAGAATCGGGAGATTGATTAGAGCTAAGAAATTGACTCCTAGATTCATAGGTCCATTTGAGATTTTAGAGAGAATTGGGTCGATCACTTATCAAATTGCATTACCTCCACAATTGTTTAGGATTCATGACGTGTTTCACGTGTCTCAACTCATGAAGTATGAACCAGATGCTTCTTACATGATTGAGTTTGAAGAGTTAGAGCTATAAGAGAATATGACCGATGGAGTAGAACCAAAATGAATAGTAAATGTAAAGGATAAGCAGCTAAGAGATAAGAATATTCAATAGGTAAAAATGTTCTAAAAGGGTATGACTCATGGTGACACGACTTGGGAGACAGAAGTTAAGGTCAGGCGGTAGTACCCTCACTTGTTCTCTTAGGTACTTGTATATTGATAGTTATTTCAATTTTAGAGACAAAAATTCTTAAAAAGAGAGGAGAACTATAACATCACAAATTTTTTATTTTTACATTAATACTAATTAAGAAATAAGTTAGAAATTTAATATAGGGTTAGGATTCTAGATAGTGAAGTATTGTGTTGACTCATTTGGGATGTTAGATGAGCATATATTAGTGAAAGAATGAAGTTCTAAAGTAGAGCTTGTGAGTATAGTGAGGATTACCCTCACTGTGTCACGTGCTGCAGTGGATGATGGCTGTGCTACTATACATAGAAGAGAATGTGTCTACTCATTAAAAACAGAAGGAATGATAGAGTTAGAGGGGTCAGGTGTGTAGAAGGTGCCAAGCTCTCCTAAGGCAAGCGATTTGGGAGAAAGGACAATGTTTTTAACTTGTTACTTATTGGATAAGTCTCGTACTACCTTAACCTCTGATTCTATACTATTTTATCTTAGTTTTAGCTACTGATAAATTGAATTTGGAAGTTTCAATGAGATGATTTCTTACCCTATAGTAATAGAAAAGTCCTATGGGACTAAACAAGTAATTTATGACTAGTTTGAGTTGGAACGATAAAGTTTTAAAGTTATAGTCATAATTTGACCTTGTTTAGAGAGAGAATAGTGAAAGAAATCTAACTAGGCAAACATTAGAGCTTGTATTGAATGGAAACTAGTCATAATGCACGTGAACGTGTATGAATAGAGGAAGTGGTAGTGATTAAATATTAAATTGCTATAGTTGGCACTTTTGTCAATGGTAAGATTGACTTTGATTTGCCAATTTGGTGTAGATTGTTACATGTGATAAGTTGAATAGCAAAAGAAACTTGAATAGGGTTGTGGAACATAGATAACCCTTTCTATTGAACAGAAGGGTTGAGGTAATTATATATTTTGTTATGTTGATTAGGTATTATAACTGTGTAGAAGTAAATGTAAAAATTATGAATTTTGTGGCTTTATGGGTTTTCATGCATGATTTAGCATTGTAAATGATTTTAACATGAAATTTGATGATTTCTAGTTATGTTTAATATATATATATCGTGTAAATTATAGAAAAGTAGTGAACTACATGTGAAAAGCATGATCATAGGGGGTGAAAGTTTACCCAAGGTATATGTGGAGACGTGAGTGAATAAATCCATATGGTTGGATAGACACCATAGGACTCCGATGCAGCATATCACGAGCCAATACCATAAGTAATATGATACAACATTATATTAGGACTGTTACTGTAACATCCTGAAATTTTAAGACTCAAATTTATTTTAAAATAAAATATAGATAATTAAATTAAAATTAAGAATAATTTGATAGAGATCCAGAGTTTGAATTTTACTAAGCAAAAGTTTGGTTTTATTTGATTTTTAACTATGGGAAAAATTACTAAAGTTAACCCGGGCTTTGTGTTATAATAAAAAATATTGGGCCCTTTCTTGTAATTTTTCCTAAAGTGTTAGATCAGCTTTTTAAAGAGAAACACACGCAGAAATGAAAAAGGAAAGAAGGAAAAAAAATGCACATATGAGAGAGTGAGAGGAGGAAAAGAGGGACTTGGACTCTGATCTGGAAAGCTTTGTGGCCGTTGTGAGCTCGGCTACGCGGTAGGTAAACTCCCTACTTCAATCCTCTTCCTTCTCTCTTGATTTTCTTCAATTTTTTGAAGAGAGAATTTCTGAATTTTGATTCCAAAGGCTTTATTCTTGTAAGCTTTAGTTTCTTTAGGACCTTGGGAGGTTGTTTTGAGTTTTTATATGGTGCTCTAATGTTTTGAGTGGATAATTAGATGAAAAGAGGTGTTTTGGGCACAAATTAAATCCCGAGAGATTAGATTTTGCTCTTTAATGGTTAAAGCCTATTGATTTAGTTATAATTATGCTATTTGAATCCAAGAAGATGTAAATTAAGCTTTGGTTTTCATTATAAAGGCTAACAGTGAAAGTTGATGACACTAAGTGAAGGTTTTTAATTGATTAAAAATTAGATGAATTGGAAATTGGCCTAGTGGTAGGTAATACATGGTTTTGGTGGTTAAATGATACTATGTGAATGGTTGGTTTAATAAATGGACCATTGGAATGGATTATAGCTCATTGACCTAAGTTGTGTGGTATGAGTTGTAATCTTTTTTATGCTACTTGTCATGATAAGTAATGTGGATCACTTATATGTTGTAAGGATTGTTGGTGGACTTTGTTCGGAAGTTAAAGGACAAGCCAAGTCTTATTTTTGAATAAGGGAAAACCCTTTTGGTACAAAAGGGTTGAGGTAATAGGGGAATTTATACTTCTTATTACTTTGTTCAGCTATTTTTGAGTAGATAATATTATCTAGCATGCACTACATGTTTTCAACAATTGAATGCAAATAAAATGTGTTTTAGATGGGTTTATGGGGGTATTGCTTTAATAATAATGCATCTATGTTTACTATCTATTTAAAAATGATGTTACTTATGGAAATAAGATTCTTAGCATGCATTATGATCATAAAAAAATGAGGAGTTGCATTTAGGGAAGTGCAACTAGGTTTGATACCTTAGATAGGCTAAGAAACCACTTAAGGGATGAATTGAGAGTGTTATGCTACCTTAAGTATTGAAGTGGTCAATACTCGGAAAAGGTAGAAAAAGTTTAGGAGGCATGATCTCTGTGGGAGTTCACCAATGGGGAGATATGGTCTTGTGATATTCTATGGCTTACTATCAGTACTCAGTGCTACCTTTCGTATTGTGGGCTCAGTACACTAAAGTGGTTAGTGGATTGAGTGTTCGGCACCTCCCAGTAGGAGAAGGAATCTGACATATGAAGTATGAGGTTGAGTGCCTAGGCCAAAGTAACCCTCACATAGAGAGTAAGTCAGGTTGGTTCTGGGAGGGAGTTAGCTTTAACTGCTTAGGATTCACGTTGAAGGGGCACAGGTAGTTTGATGGATCAGATCATGCCTTGGTTTATATGTTGTGCC